AAATAATCGGAAAAGTGTATTTTGTATTCGCAATCGTAATTTCAAAACATCAAGAATTTGGTGTTCAAGGATATTGTTACAAGGAGGGTCTAATTTTTTTCCTCCACAAAAATCTATCTATCTATCTATCTATCTATCTATCTATCTATCTATCTATCTATCTATCTATCTATCTATCTATCTATCTATCTATCTATCTATCTATCTATCTATCTATCTATCTATCTATCTATCTATCTATCTATCTATCTATCTATCTATCTATCTATCTATCTATCTATCATCTATCTATCTATCTATCTATCTATCTATCTATCTATCTATCTATCTATCTATCTATCTATCTACCTACCTACCTACCTACCTACCTACCTATCTACAAGTACCTACCTATCTGTATCCATCCATCCATCCATCCATAGCTACATACAGAACTGTTATTACATAAAAATAGTTTTTTATACTACTTTTTTACAGTAAAAAGATTTTAAAAAGTAGTAAAGTAAAGCTCTCTTTATGAGCATGTAAAGTAAACCTTCAATGCCCCACAGCTCAACAGATGTCTGTAAATCTACTGTGCAGAAAGGAAGTCACATCACTGAGCAAGGAAGTGGTAAACCCATCAATCCATCTGAGATGAAGCACCTGTGATAGACATCTAACCATGAGACCTTAAAACCACAGTAAGTCTCTGCATGATGGTCAGTGTATGAAATCTACTAATCTACCCTTGAGGTGTTAGTAAGAGCTAAACTATATTTATATCAGAATAACACCCTGCACTGTTTCTTTAAATAACATATATTAAAACATCTGTAATGCAATTATTTCAGTCTATAAAGTGCTCCAGAATATTTCACAAAGGATGATTAATATGAAATAGGATTGCTGATATTTGCTTTTGTGATGCCCGACTGTTGCAGCAAAATTGAAGTAATTGCTAATTCAATTCAATTGTATTGCCAGCGTTTCTCAGTGGAATCTTAATTACTGTTCTTTTGCCATAAAACAGATGGGAAGAGGTATTGTGTTCATGTTATTACCCAGTGGATGGTTACAACTTGATTTATGGACCACTGTCAGTATTTCTGAAGCAATATATCTCAGATGAGCATAACAATGGTTATCCCTTTGAAATTATGAATCCTGAATGTTTCCAAAAAATAGGATATACGGGTAACATATTATCTGATTCTGCCCCTTAAGAAAAACATCATTAGCTTATTTGATAAGCTGAAGTGCTGTTTAGCAGGATAGGTTTCATCATAATTGCAAGATTAAAAAAAGCAACATATGCTATAAAACTGCAGAATTGCATGAGTTCACTATATTTTTTTTTTGGATTTCCCAAATAATGCTGATGAACTTAAAATTTTTTGCTTGTGAAGTAAAAAAAACCTTTAGTACATTTAACTGTAAAACTGATGTTAAAGATTATGGAGGTAGAGGAGGCCCGGGCAAGTTGTCACCTGGGGAATTTTTGCGGATGCTTGTTTGCTCCAGCAGTGGTTTCACTTTGGTTTCAAACACATTCAACCCCTCTTAAATTACATTTATTTTGTTTATTTTGGCCAAATTAAAATTCCAACATTAGCATATTTTTGGAACAGCTGTATGGTGAATAAGTGAATGCAATAAAAAAAAAATGAAGGCAGATTGTAACAAAAAAAGTTTGAAGTGTGATCTCAGGAGAAATGTATTTCGTAAATAAATACAGTAATTACAGTAAGAAGTATAATAATGTAATATACTGTAACATAATATCATATAATCAGTAGCTATATATTTCATGAACTGTTTAATATTATTCTATTCTATTCTATTCTGGAAAAGAAAAGCTGTAAGCATTGTGAAAAAGAACGTATTGTTCCTTCATTTAATCAGAAGAGGGCGCTCGTGACCATGGTTAGACTCTGCAGAATTGCAGACCGAAGCTTCTGGTTTCAGTTTCACACACAGGGTTCCAGCGATTTACTGTAAGTGAATACCAGCATATTGAACGTGAAATGCGTTGAATATTAACGTTTTTAAATAATATAGCCTAATATATTTGCAATACATTCAAATATATGCTAATAAAGCGAAAGCCAATGGTTTTACTGTTTATTTATTTTGATAGCTTATAATGCATCAGAAATTAAACTTTAGACATAGGTCTAAATGCCTATGAATCCACTTTACCAAAATAATTTCTAATTCCATATCTATATTATTTAAAAAGTGTAGGCCTATTATATAATACACACACACATTATTAAATATGCTACAATTCATAACAATCATTATTTAATCAGATTTACCGATCGGTTAGTTAATATATATATATATATATATATATATATATATATATATATATATATATATATATATATATATATATATATATAGGCTATATATATATATATATATATATATACATGTTGTACACTGTAAAAAATATGTTTATGATTTGTAATCACAACATTTTTCATCTTTTGTCAAATCAACTCAAAAAAATTATGTGGTTCAGATAACATAATATTTGAGTTTCTAATGGTTAAATCAATCTCCTTCATTGTATTAACTCGATTTTTACATTTCAATAAACGTAAAATTTTAATTTTTTAAGTTAAACCAACAATATTTTTTACAGTTTATTTTACTGCTCTATATAATTATAACGACTTGGTAATGGAAATGTTTTACCCTTTTATTCTTAAATAAGCCTGAATTGAAAGAGTCCTCCGCTGAAGTGATGTTGACTGGCCCCGTCATGCAGCAGGTGGCCTTACCTGCAACCAAAACCAGCCCTTGAACTACAGAAACCCAATCCACAGAGCTGCACAGATGGGTCACCAGCCAAAATGAGTGCCTCTGCATGATTTATTGCGCCAAAATACCACGGAACTAATCAGCGGACAAACTAATTAATACAAATCTGCATTTTTGCATAAGTAATTAGAGCAACGAAACTCGCAGTGAAACAGGAGATAGGGATTTATTCAGTCGGGAGACCCATTCAAGCAGAGAGAGATTAGTTTGGATTCGCCGTTTCTTTCCGTCAGAGGAAAGGTCTTGTTGGTTCAAGCAGAGGGTTTTAAAGGTCAAATTATTAATAAATATCATTGGTATGACCTCATATTGTGTTGTGTTGTGTTGAGAGGGAGAGGGACATCTTAATGTTAAATAAATCTTGCAGGATACGACCTACTTCTGTTCCTTTGGCATCGGTAAAAGTATGATTTTTATTTTGTTTTATTGTATTTATATAGCATATGTTTTTCAATATAGATGTATAGGCTTTCAATAGGCATCTCTTTATTACTGTAAGCCAGAGAAACTCAGTCAACTATGACATCGTAAAGAGACTGTTTTATATTTCTGTAATTTATAGACTAATAAACACCACATAAAAATAAAGAGTGCCAATGTGTGGGACGTCGAAGAAATGCAGAAGTAAAGCATGAAGTAAAAGTGCACTGAGTTGCTGTCAGTGGTGCTGAAATCACTCTCCTCACGTCTCTTGGTTTGCATGGCAACAGGGAGATACACACACACGCAAACAGACGGCTTCCTATCGGACCTTTGACCAGCACAAACTTGTCGATTTTTATGAGAAAGATTAGCTGCACTCAGAGCCCAGGAGTGTTCGTGGGCAATTCACGGTTACCTGGTTATCAAATGTCTTCGGTGGGCCATTAACAGATGTCAGGAGAGATAAGCACAGATAAGCAAACAATGGAAATGAAATATGTTGCACGCATGAACAAACAGCATGCGGATATAGCCTAGCCGAGACGCCCAACTCACACTTAGAAAGAATAAAAAGAATTGCACAAGCAACACAACTGTGAACACAAATCTTTAAGATGGTCTTGTATAGATGGATATATTCGTTGGACTGATTTTAAGGTGTCTAGGTAGGCTAATTAGTTTCTGAAGTAATTAAAATGCGAAATTAGGTTATTGAAACAGTAGGCCTATCCTAAAACTAAAGTCATTATTTATTTAAGCCATGATTAGATTAAAGTTTTTACTTGTCAAATATCATCTGTTGATATTAAATAATTCCAGAAAAAAATAAGTCTATTACAGGCCTATCTAATTTCCTCAGAGCACAAATGCGCGCACGTGCCATTGTCTAGTTATTCTCTAATTTATATATTCGCCTTTTCAACGGTCATCGCGTTGTTCTATCTTTTTTTTCTTCCTTTTTTAGGGGGTTGGAAGGGTGATGATATTAAATTGAATAGAAAACAGCAGATTTCGGACGTTGGATCAGGTTAGTGAGCCGTGAAACAGGCTTTTTGTCAGTGCGCGTGCGGCTCGCGTGCCGACCGACCAGCGTTGAAAAGAGGGGGACACATTACCGGGGTCTCGAGCCAGACTTTGCAATTACTGTTTAATCAATAGCACAAGATATTTGTTAAAGATTAGCGACAAATCCCCCAAGTGCCCCTACAAACCACGAAAACATCAATATTATAGCCTAACTTCTGTAGGCTATCAGAATAAAATTCGATTGTTTTATTTTTAAATAGGCCTGGGCCTAATTATAGGAGTTACAAATGACAACACAATAATAATAATACATTTAGGCTTATTTATCCTATTATTTTAGACAGGACCTATTTCCACTGATAATTAGTGACAAAAACTACTCGGTGATCATGAGCTAATTTATGAACACGCATAAAGAATTGTCCGCATTAAGACAACGGGATGTGGCTAAAGAAAGAGTCGGCCGTGATTGAATGTGTCCCACGCTTGAAAGGGTTAATCCATCCTGCGGGTACAAACAGGTCCACGGAGTCTCTAACTGGCGACAGATGGTCACTTTCTTTCGGCCACAAAGGGACGGAATACGGAGCTCTGGCGAATACAAATGGAAGAGATCACGTGACGCTTGAGGCCGTTTTCCTGACGTAGTCGGCCATATGGCGCGTGCCGGGGGAAGGGGCGGGGCCAGATGTCAATCACGGGCTCAGGGTGGGACTGTAGAGGCAGTGGCACAGACAGACATCCACTCGCATCCTCCAGCATCAGCAGCACCGCTATATAACCAGAGCATCTCATCGGCGCAGACACATTAGGCTTCAATCCGCAGGACTTCCCACACCACGAGGGGCATGAAACTATCATAACAAGACATTCAACAAATCATAGGTATGTGATGATGATACTGTCTCTATTATATTTCAGAACTATTTAGCTCGAAATCATTCAGATCATTCTTATAATGAAGATGGTTGTCCACGTTGAAATTATTTGAACGGAAATTGAATAATGAAGGGCATATTGTGTCAGCTGATGCATAGGCTATACTATAAATGAAAATATATTTGTTGAATTGGTGCCAAACCTGCACTGATAAGTTTATTGCACCTTTTCAACCACTTTGAATTGCATTACTGTTGAGGAAAATTTAGCGAACATTTAAATATAAGGAAACAATTATTCATCCGTTTAAATGTATATAAACTTTATAGGTGCAATATCTGTTGTTGGGAATAATACGATTCAAGTTAGAATATATCTTGTTGTTCAGCCGAGTTAAGCATACCAATTTACTTATGAGAATAGCTTCAAACTAATTTACTCTCTTAAAAAAATCAAGGTTCTTCAATGATTCAGATAAGACTTATATTTTTTGCAGTTCTTCATTTCGCATCATACTGTAGGAAGCTCAATCCTTTTTAAAATTATTCTTAAGGGCTCTATCTGATTAGGAAACACTGATGCTGTTACATAATAAAGCTGCATAAATATGCAGCTATGATTCATCCACAGGTGATGTGCTGTCTATCTCATACTTTAAGTGTTGCATGACTCTCTTGTACGAGAAATAAATATTTAAAGGCTTCTTCTATGTACCATTTTCAGAGTTCCAACATGACGAAGTCTTACAGTGAGGAAAGCATGATGCTGGAGTCTCAAACCAGCACAAACTGGACCGACAAGTGTCACGGCAGCTCCCACGACGAGCGAGACGTGGGCAAGACCGACGAGCCCATGCACAAGGACATGGAGGAGGAGGACGACGACGATGTGGAACTCAACCGACTCGAAGACGAGGAGGACGAGGAGGAAGAGGAGGAAGAGGACGGTGACGACACCAAGCCGAAAAGACGAGGACCCAAGAAGAAGAAGATGACAAAGGCACGTGTGCAGAGGTTCAAAATGAGGCGCATGAAGGCGAACGCCCGGGAGAGGAACCGCATGCACGGTCTCAACGACGCGCTGGAGAGCCTGCGCAAAGTTGTGCCGTGCTACTCCAAAACGCAGAAGCTCTCCAAGATCGAAACGCTCCGACTGGCCAAAAACTACATCTGGGCTCTTTCGGAAATCCTGAGGTCTGGCAAAAGCCCTGACTTGATGTCTTTTGTGCAGGCCTTGTGCAAGGGCTTGTCCCAGCCGACGACCAATTTGGTCGCGGGATGCCTCCAACTGAACCCCAGAACTTTTCTGCCCGAGCAGAGCCAGGAGATGCCCCCTCATATGCAAACAGCAAGTGCTTCCTTTTCCGCTCTTCCCTACTCCTACCAGACGCCCGGTCTTCCCAGCCCTCCGTACGGTACAATGGACAGCTCTCACATCTTTCACGTCAAGCCGCACTCGTACGGGAGCGCGCTGGAGCCGTTCTTCGACACCGCCGCGCTCACAGACTGCACCAGCCCCTCGTTCGACGGGCCTCTAAGCCCACCTTTGAGCGTCAATGGGAACTTTTCCTTCAAGCACGAGGCTTCATCGGAATTCGAGAAGAACTACGCCTTTACCATGCACTATCAGGCGGCGGGCTTGGCCGGCGCGCAGACACACGCGTCTCTTTACGCGGGCTCTACGCAGCGCTGTGATATACCGATGGAGAACATTATGTCGTACGACGGGCACTCTCATCACGAGCGGGTCATGAACGCCCAGCTGAACGCGATATTTCACGAGTCGTGATTCTAATGGACATTTGTGGGACTGCTCGTTACGTTATTCTGTTATGGCTGATGCAAAAAGAGCAACAACATTATATGCTTAATCTTATGTACGTATTTATTGTTGTTACTGCCTTTAGGAGAAAAGAGAATTCGTTGATTCTCGTTCACCTTATGTATTGTATTCTATAGCGCTTCTACGTTGCGGTCACACACAGCCAGGAGGGAACAGGAGTGACCTTCTTCAGAATGTGTTAATTATCCATGCTACAAAATCACAAGCAATAATTTGGAAACTATGCAATTTTTAATCCAATACTGGGCCAATTATAGAAATGAATAGAGATTGATATATTTTTCAACCTATTACATTTTACTACTTATCTATCCCATACTGAATTATTTTGTTGTGATTTTGTATAGAATTGTTAATTTTTATAAAGTCAGATCCTAGCATCATTCCATGCAACCCCTATGTTAATGTTTTATAAAACTGATTTATCTCCTGTGTTTATATAAAACAGTACTAATTCCAGTAATAACCAGCAGGCAAGTGCTTCAAAATCTGTAATGTTGCCTTAGCAATTAATTACTGTAAAATCATGCAGAGTTGCACAAATCCCATCCTCTGAATCCCGTCTAATGTTATGTTGAATCAGTGATCCTTTGTGGAATTTCGAATTGCTTGAGTGATGGGGGAAACAAATCGGTGTTAGAGTCTCAGTGTTGTACATAAAAGCTTGACTATCACCGTTTAAACTCACCCTGTGTAAAAGCTGATCGAAAGGCCTGTCTTTTTAAGATGGAAAATAAATAATGGACTGAATTAGTCTGCTCAAACTATTCGGGTATTTTCGACTGAATTTTTTATTGGCTGTGACGAAAGAACAAACAAACAAAAAAAAAAAAAAAAAGAGTGAGAGGTTGATTTAAAAGTGATTATTGAGACTGTTGTATGTGTGTATCAGTTCATGATGAAGGTTTAAGAAATAAAACAGATGTTTTTGAATTTAACATTAGTATAATCATTTATGTAAAATACATTCACCACGCCCACCCCATAGAATAATGATTTACCTTTATACATTAACACACATATTTGTTTAATCTAATTATTCAGGAAGAAACATACATTTAGGCTGCACATATTTTGTGTGATGAATCTGTAACTTCTGAAACCGTTAGCTAAATTTGGGGACTGTTAAAATGGAAACTTAAGGTAATGTGAATTTATACGCTTGAATATTAAACACATTTACAAGATATTCGCTGTCAGTAGTTTGTAACATAATCTTAAGCTACTCGATCGATTTTGTCCTTTATACGCAATAATAATGTTTCTTACCCGAATGCCAAAATACATATTAAAGGATCACGATGCAGAGACACATAACACAAATGCACCTACAAAATTGTGACATGTTTTTTTTTTTTTTTTTTTTTTTTTGAAACCAGAAAGTATCCTCAAAATAAGATCTCATTTTTACAAGAATGAATGACATCCCGTTTAAAAAGCAACAAGAGTCAGCGGAGAGTTCGCGCAGATATCAGAAAAGCTTTTCATCTACAAACATATTTGGAACTTTTAAATATAGCCTACACACTGTCTCTAAATACCTCCAAAAGAAAAAAAAACAAAAAACATCAGTGTAAACGAATGTGTCCTCGAGTCGTTTATAATCCACAACTGTTCGTGTCTTTCTTGCTGCAAACAAAATCTTCTTAAAATATATTGGATATCTGTGTTATATTTGAGGAGCAGAAAGCCTTTGTCCATTATTAAACGAAGTCCAAGTTGCCACTCACGCAAAAATATAGATTATAATGAAGACAAGAAGCTAATTTTGTAAAAGGAGTTATTTTATCCCCAATGCATTTTGGACGAGCACATAGGTACGAAGATACAAAAAATAAACTTACGATGAAAGTAAAAGAAAACAATAGGCTATAAAATAAAATCTAAAATCTGGTAAATATAATAAAAAATATTTAATCTAAAATCTTTAAATATTCCTGTAGCCTAAAATAAATTCCTAAATTCCTCTAAAGTAGTCACACTTCCGTGCGGGGTGAAATATTTTGAGAGGCTATATATGGAGCACTACGGGAAATCACGACTAACAACAAAACAAAATACGACTTTAACATTGAGACTATATTGTATATATAGCCTAGACAAAACATTTTTAAAAATGATCTGGAATAGAAGTAGAAAATTCCACTGGGCCTCAGGAGCTTTGGAAACATCCAGGAACTGTCCAAGGTGCTGCCTGAGGAACACTCTTCCACACCCGGTCACTTAGTAGGCCTATGATGGCTCGTTTTTTAGCCCACCAATAAACCAGACCTATATCATAAAATATATGGAAAGAAATTAAGGCGTTCATGTCTGTGGCAGCTTATATTTGTTGACATTAAACAAGATTAAGCACATATGAGTGCCATCAATGTCTGACAAAATGAAAAGATCATTGTTCACTTTTCTATTGCAAGCTATCGTTTATTTTCTAAAACTAATATCCATGTGCTGATGTGCAGTAGATTTTAAAATCACTAATAAATAATGCAATACAAACTTGTTTGCCATTTAATTAGCTATTTAGGGAAATCAATGTTCATTTATAGTAGGACCTATCATATCTACCATTTTTACTAGAGCTACTACTAATTAGTATAATTTAATTAACTTATTTTTAGTGTCTTTTCCAATGGGTGCATGTTATTATCTTTTCCATTGTCAAGGGCCTAACTATTCATTAGACATGACATATTTGTTAACACTAATAAATGTTAAAACGGCTTGTAATAGCCTAGTATTTCATATTGTTACACGTTTTTGAACGATTTGTTGAAATAGTAGCAAATAATAGACCACATGTGAGTGAGGGCAGCGCGCGTGCTCGGCTAAGAAAGTCCGGTGGGCGGGAGCGCGCGCTCTAGAGGTGCATGCATGGAGATGAGGAACTTCCTCAGGAGCCTAGCGACCGGGAGCGCGCCGAACCGGTAAATTAGTACACAAAGGAGAGTTTGCCCCACACCCGTTCACATTATGTTTGAATCCCCGTGTAAATCGATAAATGTCCTCAACGCGTGGTCGGAGAGTCAGGAAGAGTTGCGCGAGACGCAACCGGCGTCTCTTCCTCGCGGGACGGGAAAGCGAGTCAAGATAAAAAAGAAACAGCGAAAAGAGCAGCACAGCGATAAACGCTCCGTCTCGGCCCCTCAGTTGTGCATCGACGACGACGTTCAGGGGCTTAAAGAAACGAAATATAGACCGGACGAACCGATTGTGAGAGGAATCTTCCAAATCGGGAAAAAGAGCCATGACGTGGTTCTCACAGCAACGCGGGTAACATGGACGCCCATTCAGCCCGAAACCCCTACAGGTGAGCTGAGCAGCGCTGAGCTGTGTTTGCCCCCGTTACCATGGTGATTGAAAGCTACTCATGTTTACTTCCTGTGTGTCTCGAGCTCAAAGCCATATTAGCAAACAGTTTATTATTTATCGTGTTTATAGACACGACTACGCCTCGTAAGTAAACATAAGTTGAGACTTTATATTATAAACTTGGTTTTATGATCGTTTAACAATGAATCGTGGATCATTGGAATCATGAATCGCCTACGTCACCTTGATTTTAAGGTGACGTAGCGTTGTACTTACTCTCAAGTAAGAGTGATTACTTAGTAGCCTACTTTTAATGAACTAACTAACTTAGTACTTTTAATGAACTAATTTAATTACTTAGGCTTTGGTTTTAAGGCAATTTACTTGTAATTATGCATAATTTACTGTTATTACTAATACTGTTGTAATAACATGTAACAACATCACCTTAAAATAAAGGGTTGCCTGAATCGTTCTAGAATTTTAGAGTTTTAGAATAATAATTTTGTCAAAATTTTGGTTATTTTGTTTCTTTCTTGTACATCAATACAAACACATGATGCACAATTACAACACAAGCTCCAGACACACATTAAGAAAGTTGCATTTTCAGAAATATGGATTCCTCCACCAAACACACATTTGTCACTGCATGCACAACAAAGTGACCTCATCCACTAGGTCATTGCTTCCATGACAAAAGTTTGTCTTTGAGGTCATTTGATCCAAATAAATGTCGCAGATATAGGCTAGCTTCAAAAATCACTGAATTTAGCTATGCACTATGCATAGCTGAAAATCACTATGCATTTGGCAGACACTTCTATTCAAAAGGACTTAGGCTTGTGATGCATTCATAATTAGCATTTCTAGTACCATGCTCTATTGTTTGAGTTCATTGTTTCTGATTTCCAGGTTTGTCCGAGGTGATTAAATCTATAGGCCTAGTTTTTCAATAACTCTCTAAGTCAAATGACAGTATTTGAGGTAAAAACTCCCCTTGTTAAAACATTGAAAAGGTTCACTATAGCTAAAATAGACTCTGTCTCCTCTCCACCAGTAAGCTGGTGTGTGGTGGGCGTTCTGGCACAATATGGCTGCCGTCGCATCATCCATGTGGATGCCATTGGTGGTGGTTGATGAGATTCCCCCTTCCATATGTAAAGCGCTTTGAGTATGCAGAAAATCGCTATATAAATGTAACAAATTAGCTTATAATTATAAAAAGCCATTTTTTTATATATATATAAAACTAAGCTTTTCACTATTATTGTGCTGCTCAATCAGTATTCAATAAAATAACATATTTTTGATTGTTGTAAACATCAGAACCAAAAATAAGCATATTGTGGGCGGGCCTTTTGCTCTGTTGTAATTACAGAAGCAAATTGGGCTACAACAATATAGCAATTCAAATAAAGGGGGGAAAAAGGGGGTAATGTCAGTTCTGCCAGAAACTCATGTGTAACAGCTGTGTTGGTAATGGACTCCGGCTGACTGTTGTGACCACCTAAAGTAGGGCATCTGTCAGTCTTGTGGACAGTTAGCAAATGTCCAAGTAAATGATACTCAAAACTACCATCTGCATCATTACTCTAAGAAGATAACCATATGACTTTTTAGGAGGATTTGATTTTCATATCGGATATCAGTGAAACCCTAGGCCTGAATGTGTACTAGTTTTTCTCTTTGGGTAATATTGAAGGAATCCAACTTTTAATTTAGACACTTTAAGTTACTATATATGCAGAGATGAACTTTGTCATTTACATGGAAACCGCAGCGGTATCAAGTATAAAGTGTGCAAGTTGCTGCCTTAATTTTTTTTACCGTAAGTACAATCAACTTGAATGATTTAGTCATTTCAACTTAAATTGCATTAAACTGAATTTAAAAATGAATTGAATCTTGTATAACGTTGTTATTTAAAGTTAAGTAACTTATTTTGATGAGTTAAAGCATTGTAAAACATGTTGTCATAACATATTGATCATATAATTTTTTACTTGATGTGTGAATTTTCATTTGCTGTCATCATTGAGCCATTCATTAAAAAAAGCCCTCAGAATTTGCGTCGCGAGAGCGGATTTACGCTGTTTTTATTGATCAGGAAACAAAAATGAAACAATTTTGAAACACGCCCAGCAGTTTGAAGCTAAGGCATGTACTTCCTGTCTTTGGCTGTTGTTTTGTGCCTGCACTTTAAAGCACGAGCACTGCCGAGTGCAAGAAAGCCTTTCAGCGTAAGCTTTATAGACAGTACTTTTCATCTGTGATCCAAGCTAATGTTATTAAGCCAGAGCTCTCATTACACAGAAAGCATTCATCTAATAACCCCCTATGGCCTTTACCAAATGTTCCCTTGAAAATGCCAAAAAATGACAGTGAGATCTCGATATACTGGGGTACTCTATTTGACGCTCATGTGCTTTTTTTCCGCCGAGGGAAAACAGATCAGAATATTGCCCCTGATCCCTCAATACAGACAACTGAGAGAGATTGGAGGACATTACCCAGCAGATAAACACAATATCAAATTACTTGATTGCAATGTGGCATTTCAGTGCTTGTTTCTATGACAACACTGTGTGTTGGATTTCAGTCATGATTTGATACCTGTTTACTTCTCCCGTTGCTTAATTTCTGATTATGCATTTTATTTGTGTTTTCATATGCTTTAGACCTACAAAGCAAAAACAATTGTGATATATAGAGTTTCCATCAAAATATTAGAAATGAGAAAATATTAGAAATGTTTCTTGAGCAGCAAATCAGTGTGTGCTCTGGAGGATCATGTGACACTGAAGACTAGAGTAATGATGCTGAAAATTCAGCTTCGCATCACAATCAAAATGGACAAAAGTTTCAAAATATTACTGTTTCACTGTATTTTTGAAGAATATTCTGACTTTTATAATCAAAGGGAATGAGGACCGGAGATATCAAGCTCCAAAATGATAAAAAAGCACCAAAAATAAATTGGCATTTGATGGTCGTATGAATAACCATTCACATCCATGGAACCTTTCAATTACACAAAACGTTCTTTAATAGTGTAAAAAGTTTATTATAATGTTAAATGTTATATCACTGTCTTCGATAAAGTTTTGTCTATCCATTTATGGTGTTTTTGTTTTATTTTGGGGGTATTTTTTAATTTATTTACTTCAAAAAGTACCACATTTTCTATGTAAATTTTGCTTATTTCATGCTTTATTTTTTTTTATTTTGTAATGACATTAAAATATCATTCCAATAATTTCTTAGAGCTAAAACCTAAAGATGAAGTGACTTTGCTGTCACCTGGTGCCTTTTTTTGGCTTATTTTAGAATGCTCTAAATTACAGTTTTTCCCATTCATTTTTATGGGTGCCCATTTTTGACCCAAATACAAGATTAAGGAGTTTTGTTTTCACCCACTTAACATTGTAGAATTGAGTCAAAAACAATTATGTGTGTTCAGGAGGCAAACTTAGGAAAAGTAGCCAAATCTTGTACTGCTCAGATCAAGGGAAGCATTTTTTAAAAAAATAAATCAAAACTATTTTGACCACATTTGTCCAGAATACGGTTTTAGGGTTAAGGAACCCAAAATGGTTCTTTTATGCTGGCATCATTGCAAAATAAATAAATAAATAAAAATATGTAAAAGAAAATATGGAACCTTTCTTTTAAAGAAAGATATAAAAGTCCAAATGACTCATGTGCTATAGTCCAAGTATTTTGAAGCCACATGAAAGCTTTGTTTGATGAACAGCTGAAATTTAGACGTCTTGCCCTTCATTGTAAATTTCATTAAATATATGGCATCATTGGGTTTATCTTTAAGTACTTTAGTGACACTTCTTTGTAATTTGTTGGAACAAAATCTAATCATATGGGTTTGGAGTGACAAGAGGGTGAGAAAATTATGGCTGAAGTTTATTTTTTGTATGAACTATCCCTTTAAGACAGCACTACCCAGGGCTGACAACAGGACAAACTGTAAATAATATATAGAGTTTCTTTTTTTAGAGATAAGCACTATTTCTACCGTATGTAATAAAAATACAGCTCACGAGGCATCTCCTACAGCCCACTGTCTATCCAGTGTAAACTTGCCAGTTAGCTCAAATGAAAGTAGAGCCCACTGAATTGGCCTCATATTCAACCGCAACCACAGAAGAGCACGGGAGACTGGGATTGTTTGCCAAAGGGATCTGGGTTTGACTTTTTGAACCCTGAATTTGCTTAGCATTGGCCTTGGCTTTACTTCAGTTTGTCTGTTGAATGTACAAACACTGTGATTTGATCTGGGTGCCAGAGCAGTTCACGCCTCCAGACCACGCAGTTCATTTAGATCACTCTGGTGGGTTCATGCCATGTGTGTGCTGCCTTTACCTCTGGCTCTGTAAACGTATACGAACAAAGCTCATGGGGCAGAGATTGCAAATGTATGCTTTTATTTATTTATTTTTTTAATTATAAAACTGGATAAAGAAGGCAACCAGTTGAAGTAAATGCATGTTGCTGAAAAGCGTCTAAATGTTTGCACTGAACTTTACTGCTTAAAATGATGACTTATTTGAGAAGATCCATATCACCTTATTTTGCAACACCGAAGTAAGCTATTTTCTTTAAATGTGCAAGACTTCCCATTCATTAGTTGATAGGGAAATAACTAGAAGAATGACAATGAGCAGTAAACAGTAAAACTATTTGCACTACAAACCAGTTTGTTTATGTTTATGATAATTAATTAAAATATGATAGCAAGTACCAGTTTGCAATATTAAGCAGCATGTCTGACTGTTTTTGTACAGCTAAAATAAGCAAAGGCAAATGACAACGGAAGCAAATGACAACGGAAGTCTTTGCACATTCAAGTTACAAAAACAAAAATATCTATTTAATATCTCATTTGTTTATCCTAGCAATGAGTTTACACTGAATATTCTGCTTCTCAGATATCTGTACTGAAAAAGACCCTTATAATCTCAAGTCAGTTTCAGAGGATAT